TTTTCACTGGCATTTGTCAAAGCATATACCATTGTACTACCAGAATGGTTTTGACGAGAAACGACCCTCGTATAACGCGAAGATTGCGACGCGCATCGAGAAAGCCACGAGGAAGAAGACCCTTCATCTAGAAATCGGATCACGTAGAGTAAACAGGCCCTGGTGAGTTTGCCAGTCAATTTCGGGGAGGCGTCCGTGTATCCCCCGCCGTTGGTCGCTTCTTTCCTTTCCGTGGAGAAAAGAACGCGCATCGAAATGATCCCCTTTTAATGCCGCGGCACTAACTACCGGCACACCTCGAACGATCCCGCAATTCGGAAGATTGGCCCACATTACGAAATTATCGTTATTCCCCCGTTCGACCGAGGGGTGAACCTGGCGCGGAGAGAGAGAAAGAGAGACGGATCTACGGGGAACCCTGGGGCGGCAGCTTTTTTTCGTCATAAATATGGAAAACGTTCCGGGTAACCGAGCATCTCCGAGAAATCCGGCTTCCTAAAGCCTCGTGTTCTCGTCGCTCGAATAAATCTCTCCTGGCGGTTATAGACCGTGACACATCTATCGTCCACGCGGACGGATCGTTAAAAAGCGATCACGGAGACAACGTGGACGAGGAAGCTGAATCGTCAACGGCAAAAAGAAAAAAAAAAAAGAAAGGAAAAGAAAAGAAAAGAAATGTCAGAATACGTCGCGTCGTTGAGTTATATACATACATACTCTTTCGCGTCCCTCTGAATAACCGAGGCCCAAGCCACCGCGGAGAGAAATCCTCCGCGGCGAGTTTTCTCGGGACGAGTAAATATTCGACAGAGTACAGATCGAGTTCTCGGCAAATATCGCTGCACTAGGCTACGAGAATACCGATTAAGTCGCGTACGTTCGAGGGTTCTATATAGTCTTGGGCTAACATCGACCGAGTTCCCTCGGAGGAGCTTGATTCCCTGCATCTTCGATGGTACCGAGCATGCATATCAATGCGCATCGATTCGCACGAGTCTGTAAACACACGGAAACCCGGGCTAATCTCAATGATACACAGCAATATCTGGGGATCGTTGCGTTATCAGGCAGCGGGGATAATCGCGTTTCTAAAACGCGTTCGCGATTCCAATCCGACGCGCAGCTGTTCGAGCAACGTTTAGGACCGCGACGCGCCGTAACCCCGAGGAATCGAACGCTCCGGTGTCTTCCGATAAACGGTAATCCCGCTGGTGGTCGGCCATAACGTTAATTAAGTTATTTACGAGCCGAGGATCAACTCAGGCGAGTCGTATCGAGAGATCTATCGATCCAGTTCGTCTCGGCCCTATTGGAAAAATAGAGAACGTATCTCGGAAGCGTAGGAACTAGTTCTCGGAGAAGCTAGCAATTACGTCGCCCGCGGAACGACCAGCAACGCTGCCGCCTCTTATCGACCGAGACTTTCCAGCGAAATCGTCCCTAGATACGGACAAGGGCATGTCCAGTCGCAGGCGTACGACTTAATCGATGCATCTGGCTAAGTATACAGAAGGAAGTAGCAATCGCACAGGTATATCGTGTCCCGAGGTGTCGCGTTCACTACTATCATCTTGGTTCATGATGCAAGGGATAGAGCCAAGCGCAACGTCTAGAGGATATTTCAGTCAACGTATCCGTGGATCAGGAACAGTGTCGGGCCACTCTGCTCAGTTGACTAGCTAATTTGAAAATTAGATAATTTTTTGCGTAGAAATATTACTGAAATTTCAAGGTTTCGTAATTCTTTTATCGAAAATTATAGCGACAGAAACTGAATCGAAGTTTGAATCTCTTACTTGTTGATTTCATTCAAACTGAGGAAACGTTAGGATGTTTGTCAGATGCTACAAGACGCAAATTGCAATGTCTATAGCATGTTTTAACCAACGCATCCGCGTTTCATCAACTGCATCGAGCCATTACTGGACTAATTTATTGCATCACTACAAATATTACTGAATCGTTGACAAATTTTAAGGTTCCATAACTTCTTTATCAAAAATTATTGCGACAGAAACTAAACTAAAGCTTGAATCTCTTACTTGTCGAATGTATTCAAACTAGAAACTTCAGGACAATTCTGCAATTTTTATACAAAGTTTGATCATTTTGCTTCGAAATAAGCCAAACTTCACCGAGAAAGAATGTTTTTCAATACAATTACAGTCATTTTTTTTAAATTTTATTTCTATGGTCTTTCGTATATGGCTTGTGTCTTTACATTATTTATTTATTGATATTTCTACAATCCTAACAAATGCGTATCAAATACAGCGGTTCCTCGCTAATGTTTGCCACTGAATCATCCCTACCAATCCTTGGAACTACTTCGACGAGGCGATTATCAATAATTCGTGATCAGTAATAACGCAACTACGAATGAATCACCGAAAGAACAAAAATAAAACTTATATATTTTTTATTTTATAATTATGAAATTATTTTAATCGCATTGCTAACTTTTTTCCAATGAAAATGATACTAAGTGCAAAATGGATCTATATTTTGTACAATAGTTTTGCAAGTAAGGTGAGAAATATCAATAAAAGTAAGAAAAAAGTAGTATTATAATGCAAATATAAAAAAATGATTATACACATATAACAGATACATAACATTATTTTTGTTATGTATTTTTAATGAAATGAAAAAATTTACAAAACAATGTAAACAACAGAATAGAGTAAAATCTCGCAGGTCCGGTTATTAAATGTTCATTATTTATAAGATTGTACAAATCATTATTAAGAAAAAGGTGCAGCATTTATGGAGCATTACGAAACAGAACAAAATTTATTATCTGAACAAATTATCGTAGTAAAAGCACGTTCCAATGCAGTTTTGACGTTTTTAAAGAAAAATGATAAAACCTTGCAAAATTATACGCGAAAGTTGAAAAAATTCATGATAAAACACTTGTTGATGAAAGTTTGTAATTATTGTTTGACAATAACACCCATACCAGTAGCCTTTCATTGTAAACAATTTTGTAACACATTTACTTGGCATCGACCAAGGGAGTCAATAGGAGTAGGAGGTTTAAATTTTAATTTAGATTCTCTCGTAATAATTTTGAATGAATTTCAACGGTGTTATGAAATTGTGAATGTTGACAACTTTTCAGTCGTATTCGAACGATGGAATAAATTTTTCCAGTTATTTTAGTCAAGGTTCGTGACAAGCTCGTTTCAGAATCTACAGTTGAACAGAACCTTCCAGTCAAGGCCACTGATGAACTACTTCCACCGCTCTGTTTTTTGTCGCCATATGTCCCTTTGCTCAGTGTGGCAACCCCGGCATTGTATAAAAGTGGGAGTCCATCGATGTAGAACATTCTTGTAGAACATTTCATTAATCTTGGGGGAAATAGTCAAGTAGCTTATTCGTTGATGTCTTGCTTCGTGTAAACATTTATCACGATTCGACCCGCCTTTGTACTTCTCTATATTGCTAACGGTATATGTATATATTGCAACGAAAGAAAAACATTTTTCATATTAAGACTTTTTACGTGTAGATTGAAATATTTGCGAAACTGTCGTATCTGCATACGAGTTTAAACAAAACAGAAATTAAATTAAAACATAAACCAGGTAAATATATAATACAAAAACTTTCACAATACGAAGATCAATTAGTTCATTGTATAAATAATTTAGCTAACTGTTGATTGTCACTGATAAAAAGACAAAAAGATTTCTTAAAATAAAAACTTGGGAAATAAACAGTTGATTAGAGAAGAGTTAAAAAGATATAAGGCTAACATAATAAACAGCGAAAATTGGAATCGGTGCTCAAATTGTCAAGGATGGGCTTTCGATGTTTGTGCTGACATTTCCAAATGCTCAGAGAATTATATTTCTGATCATTGTAAATTATTTTGAAACTGTTCCAGGTTATAATACTTATTTTCGTCGTAATTAATACACATCGTTTCTTGAAAATCATATGCCAAAGAATAATATTAATTTAAGTTAACGGTTGTAACAATGTTGGTGACTGCTCTTCTACTTTGATTACTCGTCTAATTAACGCATCGAAAACAAATATTATGTATCTCTTATCGTTTAACACTTATTTAACGCTGAATTTACGGACATTGCACATATTATTATTAAATCATATTGATGATTACATTAATATTCGCATGACAGTTGGTGGGTCTTTTTGGGCCCAGATAACACTTATTTTTCATTCATCCTTTTCCCCTATTTTCTAAAACGCTAATGTTTCTGGTATTCATTATGCATTCTATGACTGTTTATATTTCATTGGTATTTTAAGAGCAAGGGTCTAATAAAATTTTCTTTTCATAAAACTCAAAAATATTTAGCACAAAATTAGAATCATTGCGTCTTCTAATAAGTGGGTATGATACAATAAGCCCACTCTACATTATTACAAGTAGATTGCGGATGTTTATGCCTTTATGGGAAATTTTAATTCTCAAGAAACTACAAAATGCAATTAATATTCAAAAAAGTAAGAAATGCTTAAAGTAGGATACGAATTATTATATTTAGGAGTTGAGACAAAATGCGGACCATCCTGTACAAGTATTGCAGAATGTAAATGGGTCTAAAAAAACCCAAAGATCGCCGTTTAACACACGTATATGCATACCGTAACATCGATCAAATTCAACATAAATGAGTATGTAATTTGAAACCCGTAAAATTGGGCGTTAAAGAAAACCCCAAGTGCACGCCGCTAGGGGGAATTCCCCTATCCGAGCAGACACGGGGATCGTAGAGCGAGGGTTAAATGAAATTCAACTCGTCGATAGTTATCGATATCATTATCGATGCCGGTACTAGAGGTACTGAGCTACTACTTGTCCTAGAATAAAAATACGCGTCGCATGATTCAAAGTGCAATAAGTGGCCTTGAGCGGTCGGTAAATTTTCTGCGAACTTTAGTAGATAGCGCGATCGACGATGGTAGGTTTTTGAATCGTGCTATAGAGTAAAGAAGAGGAGCGATAGAGGGGAAAGGGTTACCTTGTTCCGCGTGGGTCCCTCGCGGGCAGATCAGCAACAGCAGCAACGGCAGAAGGTGGGCAGCGGAAGCAGCAGCGGCGGCGCAGGTGGCTAGAAGGCCTGCTACGCCCGCCATATTGAAGGGGGCCATTCTTATCGCAGCCCCACCGTGGGGCCGCCGGTCCTCTCACGATCTGTGCGAGGCTGCAGCACCGGCAGCGTCGTCACTCTCTCCTCCTCATGCCTCCTCCACGCTTCGTCTGCTCTTCCCGTACGTCACGCGACGACGACGTGCAACCACCCTCGTCGCTTCCCGACTCCTCCAGCTTCAACGCTACCACCACCTCCTCCTCCACCTCCCGCGTCTCCTGCCACCTCCTCCTCCTCTTGCTCCTGCTCCAGGTCGTGCAACCCTTTCGGATGCGCCGTGCAGCCCACCGGCGCTTCTTACCCCTCCGAATAGTAGCCTGGGCTTCTCGAATAAAGCTCGCCGACCAGCCCTCGCACGCTCTATCCTCCGGTATTGTCTCTCCTGCCCCCGGGAGGAGTTCGTCCCTCTAACGCGTCAACTCTCTTTCTTATCCCGACGAGAACGATCTCTGCGCCATTAAATCTATTAGGCCTGGCTGGATCGATCGGATTATAGGCCCTTCCCGTTTCGTTTCGTCGCAGGCGTCGATGTAACCGGAAGTAGTCGGCCGACGACTATGCGTAGGCTGCCAGAAACGCGTTCGATTTTCACCCCGTCGTTTCGCCTATAAAGGGTTGTTTGCTCCTCTCTTAATGACGAGCCGAGATTCGTCGCATTTTCTCCTGGGCTCTTCCGTCGCGATCCTCGCTTTCTCTTCTCTCTTTCACCGGCCGTGCCTGCCGTCGACGCCTGAATTTCTCGCAGATGCGCGACTCCGACGGACTGCCTCGTCTGAAAGAAACAAAGATGAACCGCATTAATTAAAATCCGCGAAATATCCTTCCCCCTTTTGCCTGATCCCCGGTGCCAGCCGAATAGACCGGCGACACTCTATTTCCATCCCTTATCGTGCCCGAGCGCCAAGCGGGCTCTAATGACATCCCTAAATGGAAACAACGCCCCGGGTCGGTCTTTGGCTCCGTTTCGCGGTTCCATCTCGATCGAGACGCTGCACTCTGGCCGCGGTTTATGTACGTTTTCCGACTCCTATTCGCGACCCTTTGTTTCGAACTTTGGTCGCGTTAAATGATCCGTGGGTTCGACGAAACTTCGGGAATTTACGAAGCGCGTTTCCGCACGGTCGCTCTAGTCTTTTATACTTTTTTCTTTTTTTTTTTTGCCGTCCTCGTCGGTCTATCAACGAAGGTATGCGGAACACGAGGGGCCCGGCTGTTTACAAATTCGGTAAATAGAAATAAGTAACCGTCGAGCAAAATTTCATAACAGCAGAGGCGCTTGGCTGCGGAATTCATCGCCGGGAAAACTTTCGTTCCGTAGGTTAAGAGGACAGGCAGCTTCGATTAAGTTAAACCCCGAGCCGAACGGGGAAACTTTGGAGACGCCTTTGCGCGGCTTTGCCGAACGGTATACTTTCATCGGCCCGCTGAAAGTAGTCTTCCACCCTCGGTCCGCACCGAATAAAGTCGAATAAACTCGTACCCCCTCGAACGGAGCGAAACCCAGACCTCGTATACCGAAATTCATCGAGTGGAAACGAGCTTCTTTTGTGGCCGAACGTGACCGATCGTTCCGTCCCCCCTCCCCTCGTTCCGCCGTGCAATCAAACATTTCCGACGCGGTTCGTGAAAATCAACTACCGAATATTGCCTCGGACCCTGCTCGAGAACGGCCGTTAATGACCGCGATCGACAACCGTTTGGCACCTGTACTGTTAAGCCCGATGACTCTGCAACGATCATTGTTTCTCCGGATATTCCTTGAAGCGTGCCAAATGACACGTTACCAGCCAGATGGACGGGACGACTTCGCGTTCCAAGATCATAAAGCCTCGAGCAAACCCTCCGTGTCTACCTGTTCTTTCGATTCCTCGTCTCGATCGCTTACGCGCGTCTCCCCACGAGTATCGATCACTCTGGGAGCAGCGACTACCGACTTTTGCCCTTTCGCGCCTAAAATGACCAACGCGAGGGGGTATGTTTGTCGAGGTAATCGGTACAAATTCCTAAAAATATGCTATTTATTTTGTGTAAAATATTTATAAAAAAAGTATAATATTTATATATACTGGGTTTACGGAACACGTCAATTCGAGGGGTTTCAGATTCCAAACTTGACGTTACAAAACTCATGAATATTGTTTCTTAACAATTTATATAGAATTTGATTAATACAATCATACGAATATGTATCTCAATTTTTAAAAAAACACACATTTTAATGTAACTGCGTGCAATGAATGCCTATAAATCTGATGCAAGGAAAGTAATAAGTATTTTTGAAAAATTCAAAAATATGTTTAAAGTACGCATATAATGTTGTGTGGAATCTCCTTTATTCTACAGTACAGCCTCACAACGGGTTGGCATATTTTTGACAAGCTTTCCTCCATATCCTCCGTATTGGAGGTTATTATAATTGCTTCAATGAAAATACTATATGTGTGCTTTCCACTTTTAACTTCATAATAGCTCACACATTTTCTACAGGGTTTGCGTCAGATGACTGTAAAGGCTAATCTAAGACATTGATGTTTGGGGATGCTTTTGTTCCCTAGGTTTTTGAACTTCGCCGACACTCAGAACGCACAAAGAATGTTAAAAAAATATGAAAACTGTTTATTAAAGTTTGCAAGAGTGTGGTTCGGTGAAGACAATACGTAAGGGATAACGATTCGAAACACTGGAGTCATCTGTGTACCACATGGAAAAAAGAATATGGCATCAATGTCTTAGATTATCCTTCATAGTCACCTGATGCAAATCCTATAGAAAATGTGTGGGCTATTATGAACTTAAAACTACGTGGATAGCATATATATTTTTATTGAAGCAATTATGCCATTCTATAAAGAGGATAAGCTTGTAAAAAATATGCCAACTTGAACGTACTATTATATCTGTATTTGAAACCTATTCTTGAATTCTTCAAAAATACTTATTACTTTCTTAGATATCAAGCCAACGCTCTTGTGAAACATACTATATTTAGCATTGACGTTTAAAAATCGGTTTAACGAGAATATTAATAAACGGGATGAAATTCCATCGCACAAATAATTTACTAGTAAATTTAAATGCAGGGAGAAATCGTTACGAAAGGTTCCTGTCAACCGGTGATCTAATCGAGTCAATACGAATGTCTTGTTTAAATAACAATTGACACCGATTAACTATTTTATCATGCTGCTTCACCTAAAAAGGTTCCTCGGATAATCTACTAAATGAAGTACAATCTATGCTAGCACGTGGCGGTCCATAGTGTTATAAAATAGTAAACTAAAAAATTTAGTATGCTTTTTATTGTTTTTTAATATCTCTGACAGATTATCCGGTGTATGCAATTTTAGATATAGGAGTTGCCTTATGTTTCTAACTGTTCCAACATTTTTTTTCATCGTTTAGCTCTCTGATAAGATAACCGTAGCATACATATGCTACGACGTTAGAGATTACAAAAAAATTAGGGTATTTAACGATTGCTGGTAAATATTTTAGGAATTTTATAGGTCAAAGTAAGCCAAAAAATATCAAGAGTAACGAAATCGCGTTTTTCGGCATTTTTTGCTGTTTTTTATTTTTCACTACCTGGTTCTTCAATCAAAAAATCTGAAAATCTCGCAAAGTATGTGCCCCGGTACTCGAAATGTCTCTGAATTTTTATACATTTTTTTACTCAATAGGTCAAGAGAAATTGTACAAAAACATGATTTTCGTTTTCACCCCATTACTACCCCCACGGTCGAGATTTCAAGTTAAAAATTTGCACACAGGGTTTTTTTTTTTTGCTATCGAATGACCCGTGGCTCGTTCCATTCGGTTTGGGGACACATTTGACCCCCTTATTCGGCTATACCCTTTCTGAAATTCTTAACACTAAATTTACCTAACCCATCATTTTGATGGATTGTAAATTCCATACTTAAAGTTATAGAACGCGTAAATATTATTTGTCAGCAACTTAGGTTGAATTTGATCAATGTAAAGACACGAATATATATTCTAATTAAAATAAAAACAGAATTTTGATGTAACTGTCAATATAACGGGTTTCAATAAAAATTTGTACAACCGATATTCGTAAATTTAGTGTTAATATCCATTAAAAACAAGTTTTCTAACGTTCACAATTAGATTGCTCGGAATTAAATGAAATCTTGAAATCGAAATATAAAACTCTTTTTTCAAATATATTCAACCCTTTTCTTTTACTAATTTGTACTGTAAATTTTTGTTGTTCTGTAATTTTATTCAATATTAACTTATATGCAAAAAAGTTGAAGGTGAAAAACGAGTCGTGAAGAACAGATGCAATTTCAATATAATATTAATTTGTATTGTTAATTAATAGTTTTTGTTAAAAATTATGTGCCTAGGGCAATTTAAATTATGCATTCGTATGATTATATTGTTTGTTATTTGTTCCAAATATAATTCTTTTCCTTAAATCCTACAAAAATGTAGCCAAAATGTTTTTCAAAAAACAAAAATTTTTTTCTCGACAGTTTTATTGATTACAATTAGAGGTGTATCGAGTGTTTGATCCAACTGTAATTAGAATATTATATTTAAATGTCGGAAATAGAAAAAATTTCGAACGCAACTTTATCGTTAGAATATGTACCACCAGCACACTTGTATCGCACTTCCTTTTACATCAAAGATTCTTAAACTATGGGACACGATCTGCCAGAGGAGTTAGAATTCTTTGAGGTTGCAAAAGATTACGAAGAACATAAAATATGCTTGTTATTACTTTGAAATATTGGAATATTTTATGGTTATTATTAAAAATTAAATTAGTTTCCCTGGTTAAACTCATAGTGTTTATAGATTTTATAAAACTAGGGGACATAAATAATTTCATTCAATTAATCGAATTTAAGTGTTTTAACCATGTTTTGCACGATTTGAAATTTATTTATAACTCATTTCTATAAGTGCATACTCAAAAACGTTTATAGAATGTGGTGTCATAACTCTTCGGGA